ATTGTTTACAAAGTTGGTAACATTAGACAGCTAAGCAAGTACATCCCATCTTTGTTTTTAGTGACCTTCAACCTTCCAGCTTGGTTCCAATCTCTTTCACCCTTACACTAATCAAACCATTACCTAACACTGTACGTTTCGGTTTGGGGCGGGGCCACAGCCGTAGTATCGTACCATTAGAGGTCCCACAGCGAATCCTTGCAATAGTTGGCAAATTGCCACGGACGGGCATGTACATTTTGTTGCGTTCGTTGGCAACGACTAACACCGATTGATACCGCGACGGGGATGACTGATTTCGAAATCCCCGTATAGCGGATCTCCGCCGATACTCCACGACAAAACTTACGCTTTGTCTTCTGGCGGACTGCAAACAACCTGACTTCACGTGTAAAATACGAAAGGGGAGAGGTTGGGTTGGGTGTGGATTTAGGTTTAGGAGGAAACGTGAAAGGTTTCGAGAGATGAGGAAGCATTGCGCGCCCCCGATCTTGCACTCAGGACAGTAACACTGAAGCTGCAATTTCTTCGGAATGTTCTTGCCGTCGGCTCTTTCTGTTGCTTTCACTTTCACTTTTTTCTCTGTACTTTCTGCCGTCTTTCCGTCGCCTCTTTTTGCTTTTATCTATACTTTTTGCCGCCTTTCCGTTGCCTAGTTTTGCTTTTTTTGTACTTTTCGTCGTCTTCTCTTTTCCTCTTTTTGCTTATTTTTCTGAATAAGTGCTGACATTGAATAACACGTGACCGTAATGCTATAGTAAATCGCCAATACTGTTATTATTCGCCTTTGATTATGAGTGCAGTTTCTTCCTTCGTGATCATTCTACTTTCAGGCTAATAGTATTGAAGGTGAAATGTGGCAATCGCGAAAAACCTCAGGAGCGCAAGGTTAGTTTTTTGATTTTATTTTTAGTGGATTCAGCTCCTTATATTTCTGCTCTTTATTCATTGTGTGGCCAGTTCTTTTTTTTTGTTCCTTGTTCCTTGTGAGTGCACTGGACTCATAGTGGATTATTTTGTTTTGTTATTTTTCTTTGATATGAAATGTGTATGAAGTGAGATCGAATGGAAAAAATTACACTAGTTAGGGACACGTTTCCTAAATTTTGGGTGTAAACGATCCATGTACTTCGCTGGTTACCATCTTCACACCCATTTTCACCGGATTATTTTGAACAGGGGAAGATTATAAAACGGAGAAAATAGCAAGAGAAAATAGCAAAAAAGGAAATAGAAATTTTAAGCAGTCCATACATTCTCCTTANCCCCCCCCCCCCCCGCATTCGACATCCATTCAGAATTGTAACGGCGTATTGAATGCGTGTGTGGCCTATACAGTGACCTGCGGCGGCCAGCCGATGTACAAGTCGGTGCTTTTATCCTCGCAGGCGAGTCTGGTACCGATCAGCCGACCCCAGAATTGTAGAGATTTGGAATCCATAACCTGTGGTGGAGAGCCGGTCACGGCGTTCTAACCTGGGGATACGGTCTTCCCTCGAGGAGTTCGAGCCGTGGGGAGCGGCATAGCTGGGGATAACGTGACACCCCAGGATGGGCTACGCCCATATGAACATGTATAAATAGGTCGGCATACTCCCAAATATAACTCATCTCTCCGCATAAGCTACATCCATGGCAGATGTTTCAGTAGCAGACGTAAAGACTTTACGGAGAAGTCTGCGTGATAACTGGAGGAGGAGAAGAAGTAGGAGGGATACGGGCTCGCCCGCACTGCCCCATTGGCGGTGTGAAAATAGCTTAAGATTCTCAGAAGAAACCGAGTTCACAGAGTATTCTTTATAACGAAATGCCTTCGCTAGTCCTTACCAACCGTTTCATTCAATTTAGGAGAACGATCCAAATATTGTTGAGTATGGGAATTTTCGAAAGTCGCTGGATGAACCGTCGGGCTCTGCGTTTTCGGATGAAAACATAGCTCCTCCCGTAAGCCTCTAGCAGCATCAGCGATTTTGATGATCCAAATCCAACCTGGCGCCAAAAAGAGGAGAACCGAGATAGTTTGCTGCTTTAGCTAAGCAATGTAAGATAGCTGCGATTTAAACATTACAGAGGGTTTCGAGGTTTTGAAAGAAACTGCGTGTCGCGTAAAAGAAAGTGTCGCTCGAGTGGCCGCAAGGGAACCAAAGGATGACGAGTATGATTGCTTTGGTAAACCAACTTGTTACTTTTCGGACTCGGACAACTCAATTGTTCAGAACCTCTTTTCCATGGGAATATGTGGTCCCCGTACTCCGGGGGTATAACAGAGAACTAGCGAGAAACAAAATGGAGGAGCGCTGGCTAGTCGTCGGTCACAGCCATCGTCCCGCGAGACAGGCACCATATGTAGTTTGTTGTATTTGTAAAGAATAAGCTGTTATATGGGCCAAACAAGTAAGAGCTTTTGGAAACAAGAAAAACTAGTTAAAAGGTTAGACAAAGGCGTCAACTGTTGGGTCGATTTTAAATTTCTAAGATACTAATGATCCCGAATACTCTCGTAGTCCTCTTCTTATCGCCAATATGGATGCTATGGTCAATGATGCTGTATCCTGTGAAGGTATTTTGACGATTTACTGCTCGAGAGCGACGCTGAAGACATCGAGAATTTGTTCCTGCAGTTGTGAGAGATCGAGGAATTTCGATACAGATGACGCCGACGAAAGTGACAGCGGTAGTGTCATGAACTCCCTGTTCATGATAAGGTTATTACCCGCCTCTCTCCGCCGTATGAAACGGCGAGTGTATCGTTACGGAGAAGCGTGAGCGTGACTGCTGCTAGCCTGTACGCATTGCTTCTTCGACTCTCTTTTAGTGACGGGAGGACAAAACGTTGCGGACCCACAGATAGACGGTCGCAAAACTACAAACTATTCCAAGGGATCCCAAATAACACAAATCTCCTTCATCCATATTTCTATGGCAGATTCTAGGTTCATATATACTGCCGTAGCTGGCCGACTGGGGACCCATTGTATACAACCCATTGATTGGGTTGTATCTGGCTCGTGTATTTGGAATACAGGTTGATCAGTAAACATGTATTGACATACTTTGAAGAGAAGCGAACCACCAATACACATCTGGAAGTGATGCAGCCAAAACAGATAGTGCCACGGTAGGTAATACTTGGACCGACGGTGGACATCCAAATGATAGATAGATTTTCAACAAGCCGATTAAAGTACCTAAAAATATGGAAGTCTGTGAAACCCCTTTCGACATCTGCCAGCTGATCCCTTACGAGGATCTGCTTGAAATGTTTGCGACACAAATGAATATATATATATATATATATATATATATATATATATATATATGGTCATCGGAAGAGTTGCTTAAGAAAAAACACAGAAAATGAAAAACTGAAAATTCTTCCGGCTTCTGCTTGCAAATGCCTCATATACAAACAGAGCAACTGCTGGTCAGTGGAACTCATTCTGGAACACTCGAGAGGAAATTTCGATGTTTACGATATTCCGTCCGCTTCGGCAATGTCTCACAGGATCGAAGTCTTCCACCATCGGAACAAATGTCACTACAAACCGCTCATTCACTAAACATCGCAGCGAACATCGATCGTACATTCAGCATCGACCAGTTGGTCACCAGAGATCTCGTCATGGTAGATGCTTTTCTCCGTCGCTCCTTTTATAACATCATTCGTGACGCGATCGTCGAGGAGACCGCAATGCTGATCGATGCAGACTTTGGTTACCCTCGTGGAGAGCAATGCCCCATTTTCCTCATCGTACAGGCGTTCAAGGAACTTCACCAAGCAATAAAAAAGATCAAACGCTTACGAATGATCTAGCGAAACAGCCAGAATATTGGAGGATAGCGACAAAGCTTACGCAGCTCTTCGATGAATGTCTTACGATGTACTACAACGTTCAAACCCATCGGAATACCTTCTAGAACTCATCGTACCGCACGTCCCCAACCCCATCGGGGGCACCAGAAGATTCGTCGATATCCTCAGTTACTGTTCTATCACGTTGGCCGCCATTAAACAGATTTGTACCGCCCCCTCCACAGTGACGGCTGCGACAACTGTTAACCTGAAGAGGAACAACACCGCCGTTGCTCGTCTTCACGGAATAACCACTCCACAGTCGTCGTCAGTTCAGGCCCCTGAGATTGAGGAAATCGCCACCGTCTGCGACACCGCAATGTCACCAGTTAATTTGTCGTCGTCAGTGACTACCTCATCCCAGACCACCTTTAAGTCATCAGCCGCGTCAACTCAAACTGGTTAACCTCCGAGGAAACCACTTGCGAGGACGTTGTCTCAAATTTGGAAGTCTCCAGCAATACCCACACCAGTGCCGTCAACTAGCGCCCGGTCAACATCACCGGATTCGGGCCGAACGGAAAGGTGTCCTCGAAGAAGTCCGTCGTACCACCACGTCCCTGTTCGATTGGAGGAACGCCGACGTCGCCCATCTCCCAGTCCCTTTGGTAGTCGTCAGTCCGTGCCAATCGACCGTTCGAACGTCAGATGTTGCTTCTGCCATCAGAACCACTACTCTGCAGACTGTAACGTCGTCACGGAGCTTACCGATAGAGCATTGAGAGAAGTCAACGAAGGACGATGTCTTAATTGCCTCTACCTCCATGCCCCAGTCTACTGTCGCCGCGACGCCAAATCCCGATTCTGTGGTGAGAAGAACCATCACCCCGTAGTCTGCCCTAGAAACCTCTATCTGATGAGAGGCCTTGACATGGACTACGATGCCTTCTTCAAGAACATGTATGATTTGTATTTAGACTTCTATCGCCGGAGTTCCCGGACCTAGTCGACTCGACATCGGTTGCCATCAGCATCAGTCGTCAGTCCCTTGCCCTCAATACCTTGTCCTCAGCCCGTCGTCATCAGTACCGGTCGTCATCAGTCCGTTGTCTTCAGTATCCTGCCGTCAGCCGTCAGCATATCGCCGTCAGCACAATAACATCAATTCCTTGCCGTCATCAGTTTATCGCCGTCAGTATCAGCCATCAATTCGCCGTCATCAGTACTATGCCGTCAGCACAACTTCCTGCATTGAACCTTTAGTGGGGATTAGGGTTGAGATCATGCCCCCACAGCGTTGAGAGATCGCCATTCTAAAGCACCGCACTTTCGTTTAGGAAGAAACTGACCTCCCTGCCGAATTGGCTAAGCGAGGATCGCAATCTCTCCATCACACTTGTACCGACCCTTGGTGCGGAGGACCCCTAGTAGGAAATTTCCTTCGAATCGTTTATCCGCTAAAGTCAACATCAGTCGCCAACACCAATCGTCAGTCAATCTACGATCGTGCAGCAGCAGTCAACGCCGTTATCCTCCGCAGTGTCCAATTCCATCCGGCACCACCGCAGTTGATGGAGTCAGTTGTGATCAATGTGAACATGTTTTTATAGTATTTATCCTTATATTTAGCTCATTTACTACGTAATCTCTCCTCGTTGTCTACCGGTCATATACTCACTTACTTCTTACTCGTGAAGCTCATATATTTACTTGATCTCGTTCATCATATATTTGTGCGTATGTATTTTGTATCTCCTCATTTCTCTCTAGGTCAGCAGATGGTAGGCCACTCGTCATCAGTCGTCATCAGCATTGTCGCACGTCTTCACCCGTTCCATCGCCATTCCGCAGTCGTCGCATTCTGCCTCGCCCGGAGTGTCGCGACTTACGTGCGACCGCGGTACATTGAAAAGAAACCGTGCTCCAATGCAGTGCCGCAGTGCACAACGCGCCAATGGCAGAACGTTCTAAAAGCGCGGGAAGGTTATCGAGCGAGCCCGCGCCTGGCAACTAGCCGGGAGTATTTCGCCATCCCGTCGTCCTAAGTGGTTGCCTTTGTTCAATCGGTCGTCAGTCGCGTCCCGCTGCCTCAGAAGATCGTCGTCTTCAGCCGATGTCATCAGGATCGACGTCTTCAGTTGGAGCCATCACCACCAACACGGCGGACCAGCAGTACCCATCGTATGTCATGTTAAGCCTTCAGTTTTGCTGACCTTTCTTTTCTACACTCTTCTCTTTCCTCTTTATTCGCCTCCTTTTTTATATGCCTTTGTAATGCATAGTTATTTGGTAATACATTTATTAGAAATTAAACGTATAATGATAAGTTTGGTATTTCTGTAATACGTGCAATCGTCGAACATCTTAACCCTTAGTTTCTAGTCTCATGACACGTTCTTCTCAGAGGGAGCCAGGAGGGGATAAGGGTCATTTAGTTCACCCAGTGGCAGGTCATCAGGCATTCCGGTGCGACTATCCCCGCAAGAGGGAGTGTGAACCCTAATAATACCCACATTCTGGCGTGACCTTGGGTCCCCCCGCCGATGCATAGGAACTCCCTGGGACCGGGGTCGTGACAGTAACCATGACGTACTAGTTTAGGGGATTCGACGCACAACACGCCCCGCACATTCTATCGAAAATACGCAGACAAAAAGCATTTACGGTCTACACTACCTGATGGAGCAAAAGGCACATTGTGAAGAAGAATCAGTAGAACGCATCAAGCGGATAAAGAGCATTCTGGTCAAAGCTGCAGCTGTCCGTGACTTACAGTCTAGGTTATCGGGGAAGTGTTTCGAGCCCTGTCGTGTAGATCACGATTGTATTCTCGGCAGCTGTAACGAAGAATTAGGGAATTGTGGGGAGGGGGCATGTGAATAAGGTATCGAGCTGACCACAGTGTTGTATGCGAATTTTCCACGTAATGCTGAACATAATTCAAGATTCGCCACTTTCAGAGAAGAAGTATTGAGCATCCTACCTCGAATTACCATTAGCTTAACAAGTCTATGTGTTCCTTTCTGTCAGAAAACTCATTGCAGTGTTTGTAGTACAGAAAAGTGAAAGAGCGGCAAAGACTATTCTATTTTTTGAGTCCAGTCAAAACGCTGAGCATGCGTACACTTCGACCGCCCCCACTCCTTCTGGCTTTACTTTCACGTAGCTCTTCCAGCAGTTCCATTGATTCTACCGTAGCTTCGCTTTAATAGCGTAAAGTAGTGATGAAATAGGAGAATTCGTGGCGAGAGTGAAAGTGATAGCTCAATCTTCTAGTGCAAACCAAATACTACACTGTTTCGTATTGCTTTAACTTCATTTTCATTCCAGCTTTTATCATGCTTTTTAGGTATAAAACAAGTATTTTATGCAGTGTAAACATTCCCATTATAATTGCTTTATTCTTCACGATTCAGAAGTGTTTTCTTCAGAGGAAGCAACAGTTGGCTTTCATGAAGTGCTGGAAGGGGATAGTCGAATAGAATATAATCCCAGTATAGAAGCTGTAAACAAATAATTTAGAAACGTCAAATATTCAATATGGTCTGTCGAGAGTGAAATCATGGGAGTGAGTTATTTAAGAGAGAGTACTTCGAAACATTTTGGTTTGGGAAGAATAGTGAGCTGACAGAAACGGCCCATCTACGCACACCTTTCAAACGAGTCATTTGTTTCCGTGAAAAATATGTTGAAAGACCTCGTGTACTGTTTCTTGAAGGCACAGTTCACAATAAATGCGGGGTGGCTTGTTTCAGACGAGTCATAGAAGATAGTGTTGAATAGCGCGAAAAAGCGAAGAAAGCGCGAAGTCAGCGTATTCAGAGATATATTAGGTTCCAAAAGAGAAGTAAATTTATAAGTTGCACGAGAATGTGACAGCAGAAGGGGACGGAGTATTCGGACGACTTTTTAAATGTGTGCCCCGTTGCATAGAGCCGGACTGCATTAAGCTGCCTGCGTGCAAGGCATGGGCCCCGCTGCGAATGGTGCAACCTCTAAAGCCTCTACGACGCCGTGAAAGCTCGTCTGCATTGAGGTGCGTACGTCGGCCGAACCAGTTTTGAAACCCTTATTACGCCCTGTCTGAGCCGCCTGACAACGTTCTATGTATTATTCTTGGAAGCCATAGATTTATTCTGATGGGAATCTCAGAAACCAGTTTTAATCGTTAACTGTGCCTTCAATCTTCAAGCAACAAATGTTACGTGCAAAAAGTGTTCGCATATCTCTTGAGCAGCTTACAAGAGATTGAGTACTGTTGAGAGGTTCAACGTGCACTGTATGATTGACTAAGGATTTCTTTCAATATGGTGTACCTCTACGAGCATCTTCTGCATTTGAAGCTTCTTTAACTGCCTCCTAAAATAATCGGCTCGAGTATTGCGGTAGGTAGCATGTCTGGTGCTATGACGTGATATGTGAGATATGATGAAGTCGATGTCCGCACTCTTAACACCACCTTCTAAAGATAAGTTCACATTAATATCACAACGGAGAAATAGAACGAGACTATTTCATATTGAGGATAAGGAGTTGATCGCTCTCAGCACTACTCGCTAGCCAGAAAGGATTCGGTCGTTCCGCTAGGTATTATGTTGGAAGGGGAGTTGACGTTTCACAACTCATTTCCAAAGGCCATTACTCGTCTTGAAATGAACATTTTCTATCAATGTGCGTGAGCCCATTTGATTATGGACAATTTTTCTACGGAATACAAGCTCGTTTTGCTCATTCTCGCAAGTTTGGTGATCTAGTCTCCAAATAACGAGAAAGGCAGATTGCACAGGGCTTTGTTTTTCGAATAGCCGTCTCTTCAAAAACATGTCCAAATTTCTAAAGAGTGCTTCGATCCGTGAGCCGTTCAACTCCTGGAAGACGGCTTTGTGAAACATCGGTCGCAGCAGCTCATATATAGCTGCTACTAACATAAATAGAACTTTTTTGATGTGATAGTAAGTAGTAGTAATTATCCGATGAAGGGAGGGCTCAAGATCACTCCTCCTCAACAGCGAACTAGAAATTTCTGGACGCTCCCATAATTGCTTCTCCATGTTTCCACCATTTCAGACTGTTCCCAGCAAAGCATCGTGATCAACTACGCTTATTTGGCGTTCATAGCATACTTTGAAAACGAGTACAGAAAACTTGACAGAGAAACATTTCTGTGCGAACCCTCCCATGTATAGGTTGTTTCCCAGAAAAGATGGGATCATGGTAGACAAAGCAATAGAATGAAGCTCAATAAAGCAAACTGGAAAGCGAATAGTGCTGATTGTGAGAGCAAATTAGTCTTAGCACACTGTCTACCTGTTAGCACCATCGTGAGATCTGTGAGGGTCTTTTGCTGGTCGCGAGGGGAATATTTGAATATCCTTATATTATCCATATTCTTCTGGAAGTGGCAGCGCCTATAAAAAGTCAACTTTAACCCTGTCTTCATTCCCTTTGAGTGAGAGTGGGACTAACCAGTTCTGTGGTCCAAGATGCCATAAGAGGTAGGTCCTCGCAGAAAAGTCTCCGGCGATAAACCTTCGAGCCTGCTCGATCACGGTCCGCAGAGCGCAGCGAATGTCATCAATGCAACCTTCACATGTACTATTAGCAGTGTTGTTTCTGTGAAAGGCAGGCATCAAGTAGTGATTCTTGAGGCAATTATGATCTACTTACGGTGTACACATAAACATAAATCCACTGAGGAAGCGCTCTTCCGGTTCACGGATCATAGCGAAGTTCACCCATTTTTCGCCATGAGCCAACTTTTTTACTTGATCGAATGCATGTAGGCCGTTCTTGTGATAGCATGACCTAAACGCAAAATCTAAGGACAGAAGGTCTCCAAGTAGGATAACACAGGAATCAGGATTTTACCTTTTGTGATCATTCGTAATGGTGATGTTGTTTTTGTTGTGTCTGAATTCTGGGCTGAAAAGCCAGCATATTATGCCCGAAACCACTGTCGACATATTTTTAGGTATTGGACAATATGAGATGCGCTGAGGACGTTTGGTAATCTACAAAACAAACTCGATAAATTACTCGCACTATTGCACAACTGGAATGCTTGAAACTTGTCGTTTTGTTCCTTTTGATTGTAGTTTCGTCTTAGCTAGTAGCGTAAATGAGACCACATTCAAATAACTTCCATCCTTTTTCAGATGTACTTAGTTAGCGTTTTTCAGTGGAGGCCCATCGCTGCTGAGCTGACCTTAAGAGGCACAGTTCAAGTCGTCGAAAAGCTTCTGTGTTTCCTTTTTGGGAAACAAAACTTCGACTGACTGACTTGACTCACTGACTAAACCAGTGGCCCCCGAGGATAGCTTAAGAGAGGGCCCCGAATAATATCGGGTTGTACGGAAAGTCTCCAAATCCAGGTGAGGAAGATTATGGTGCGTTGTTGGTGGGATTGGAGGGGAATCATTCATTATGAGCTGTTGCCGCATAGTCGAACGATAACTTTGGGAAGGTCCTGTACTCAGCTGAAAAATTTGTAGGTAGCGATAGAGCAGAAGCGCCCAGAAGTGGCCAATAGTAAGACCGTTGTCTTCCAACAGGATATCTCTAGACCATACGTATTTCTGGCCACTCATCAAAAATTGCTGGAGCTTGGGTGTCTTACCACACCTATCATAAAGTCAAGACACTGCACAATCAGACTATGACTTCTTTAAGTTCCTGCAAAATTTTTGAATAGCACATCGCTCAATCTACTGACGGACTGCAAAAGGAACCGGAGAGTGCTTTTCGATTCTGAGTTTAGAACGTTCTACGGAAGTGGGATAATAGAACTCATAGAAAAGGTGCGAACCGTTACTTAACAGAATGAACAATATCTTGTTTGATGAATGGATTTGATCGTCTAGAAATCAAGTGACTCAAAAACCGGCGGAGACTTTTCGGACAACCAAATAATAACGGACCCCGAAAATCGGCCCAACCGACACACACACTCAAGCCGGGCGAGTTGTTAAATGCTGTAAAAGCTGTGGTTGCACCATTCGCACAGGGACCCACACCTCGCACTCAGGCAATTCCCTAATTTTGTATTCTCGTCCAACCCCTAATTTTACTTCTTTTTAAAATTTTGAATTTAAAAATTCTAAACGCGACGATTTTGCGTTCTCTTCGCCATTTTTGCACAATTCTGAGCAATCATTTCCATTACTCGCCTAAAATTATATAATCCAAATTATGCCGAACTGTGCCTTTGACGGACTCTTTTTTTCTGTCCGCTTTATACTCTGAGAAAATATACGACTAACTATCATAAAATGACCTCTTTTCAATAAACCGAAGAGGCTCCAGTGCGGCAAAATACAGTTGGTCATGGCCACGGGTTCAGTCCCGGTTTGATATCCGTTCAGGCCAATCAAGCTTTCCGTCTCCCGGGGTCGATAATTGGTATCATATTCGTCTGGGAGGATAAAATCACTAACTTGGACATCGGCTGGCCACCGCTAGTCATTACACAGGACAGATACGCATTCACTACTCCACTACGATTCTTAATGGAAGTCGACTGCGGGGGCGCATTCTTCAGACAGGATTGATCAACGTCCAATGACCCTATCCTTTACTTTTACCCGTCATTGTTCTCACAAGGTTGGCGAGTTACGGACAAAACTTCGGCTTCGGATGGGATTCTAAGCCGTACTTGTCTATCCGGGCACCGTGCTCTATCACTTTCACTACCGAAAATTTCTCCAGAAGCCCAAGTGCAACTCGATATGATTTACGCGTTATCCAAAAAGCGTCTTATTCCCTATTGCAAGCTTTACGACCATCAAGTCCTGCCTTCTGAAAAACGACGCCCAAGCTCATAGCTCAAGCGGACAAAGTCCTTGTCGCCTAGACGACTGTCATAAGCGATTGAGACTTCTTGCTGTCTCCCTTATACACGTGGTAAAAAAGATCACGTTATAGTGCTAACGATACAAGAACCAAGAAGGGAGTGGTCAAATGTTTATCGCAAACAGGCCGTGCCCCGAAATGGGCAGTGCCAGTATTAAAAATTACTAACTTTGTCAAAAAACGTTATAGCAACCAGAAAAATGTGGCTGAAGGCTACGGAAGGAGGAGCGGTTAAGCATGCGTGGGCGGGACGCACGCCGAGGTAGGCGGAGCTCAGGTAGAACCCCCTTAAATCTAAGTGAAGCGTTCTCTGATGCGGTTCACGCGTGTGCTTAGCATATAACACAGCACATATGTATATAGCACATATATCGAAGTATGTACTTTGAAAGCGGCAGAAAAAAAACTTTTAAAAACGATACTCACGAAGTACGAAGGGTAGTAGGTCACGAATGGTCTGATAATGTTAGAACTTCTACCTGGGCCGTAGTTTTGGTGAAAAAGCTTGGAAGCAGTGAAAGCCGTATGGCGGTCCTGATTCGATGCATATCTGAGTAATGACAAATTAAAAAGAAGAAATCCATCCGAAAGAAACTTATCAGGAAGAACCAATAACCTGATGACAAGTTCTTGTTGCTGGGAACGAATTCGAAGCGTTTCCAAGTCGTATGATACTCGTAGACGCACATACATCACATAAGCAAAAACTGCACATAATGCAGAAGTGTAGTTGGAAGGTTGTTGAATCAGTTTATAAAGCATTCCTAGGACACGATCAAATCAGGTGCGAATATCTCATCTAAGATGTTATGAATTGCTCCCGAATTCATCTCTTTTGCACCCCGAGCTTCACCCACGTGGCTTCAATTATCTTTCTAACACTCGAGCTTTTGATTCTAGGATCGCTGTAATCACATGGATGAAGATGGACGTGCAAAAAGAGAAGCAAGAAACAAGAGCAGTTTCAAGATTTCCTTCGTTTCACATTTTCGAAGAACACTAATGAACTTATTTATGACTCAACTCATGCTAATGGTGTGGTAATTTGACAGTAAGTTCTCTTCGGTGAACATGCGGATTCTAGGAAAACCACTCAAAGGACCATCGGAAGAAGATGGAAATTAAACGCTCCAATGACAGAGTAACGGGATGAACACCGGTTTTCCAGTGACCCTCCACTATTTTGAGAAGATGTGCAACATTCGGCAAGAAGCAATGAACGAAAATTCTTCGTTAGAAAGGGGCGACTTGTTAATTCGAGTGATCTGATGAGAAAGGCTTCCACAAGTCTCTCAAAGGCTTGGGAATGCTTAAGAATGAGAAGAAGAGGCTGTCAATATTCATATTCCTATTTGACAAAAGTAGAATGGAAAAGAATAGAAAAAAGAATAGAGATTAATAAGATCACACACAGTTCATTATGTTTCGGCATTGGACAAGTCCCAACAAACTACTGATGAAGCCCTTTGCGAACCCTCGTTAAGCTCTCCAGAGTACGCCTCTCATCGAAACCTCCAGACGAAAAGCTCTCACCTTATCATTTTCTGCCAAACAGTATGTGATGATCTCTTTCTTATAGCACTTATAATGTGAAAAACCAGCTACCATGCATTTTCGCTGGTTTTCTGATGAGAACCTAAGTAAAAGAGCCAACAAATCAATCGAAAAAGTGGGGAGGGGGGGGGGGGGGGTAGACTTGGTAACAGGTCGAAAGAATCTCAAATGGTGAAAAGATGCTGCATGTGTTGAAGCCCCACAGGAAGTTAGGAAGTTCTCCCAACCAACGCTCAGAAATCGACATCCTCTTCGGCCAACCAAGCCTTCCATCCCTCCGGGGTCGGTTTATTGGTTTAGGACCAGGGTCTTTGTGTGGGAGGATAAAAGCCATATAAAAGCCACAATTAGTACATCGGCTGGCCACCGCATGACATTGTATAGACCACATACGCATTCAATACGCCACCACGATTACGAATGGAAGTCGAATGCGTGGGCGCATCCTGTAGAAAGGATAAATTAACTTCTAAAGACTTGATTTTTTGATACTTTATCTTTGAAATCAACTTAATTTGACCAGCATGGGCAACAATCAGTGAGACCAGGACATTAACAGCAAAAAAGTTGCAACCGACCAACACCACCGAGCCGTATATTGGGTGAATAAAAGGGTGATTGTGGAATATCGTGAAGCGCCTAGTTCCAGGGGTTCCGAACATAAAGCCATCAATAAGTCTAACAGAAACTGCTTGAGAATCGCTAATAAAAAGTCATAATGATCATTCGTTAGTTAAATGGAACACAACGTATTGATGCCGAGATGAAGATTATATCTCATACGAAACTGCACGATTGTTATATGATGTTGTTTTATTACCTTTTAAGGAATGTTCCGTTCATGGAAAAGAGAATATGAAAGGAAATAAGCAAAGCCACACTATTGTTCCACAGATTTGACCTGCATTTAGAAGTTGGAAGCTTTTGAAAGGGGATCTGAGCTATGTCATAACCATAACGTTTGGAAGGCTGACGATATCCAAATTAGGCGTTATGACAGCTAGACGCACTGGTCGACCCATCTCGTCCACTTTCAAAAATCTCGAGTATTTTTATCTGACAAAAGTCGCGCTACCCTTTCACCTACTACATAACTATTTCCTCTAAAATACATAAATTACCCCTGTTCCGCGCCCTTTCTATTGTCCTTCTGTTAGCTCTTTGGCACACCTACAGTCCTCCTTTGTCTCAGTCAATTTCACTAATACGTAGTTTCAAAAAAGGACACCTCTTGTAGCTTCACCGTTTTTTTTTTAAAGACTGGTAGCATCGTCGACTGGGAGCTACTGCACCTTTGCCTACAAGGCCAGTGTGGGGATTTTTCCATTTGGAATAAACTTGTCTGCACGGTAGCAAGGTTCTGTCCACGGTTCAGGCTGATGAGTTCCATCCAAATTTTTGATCACTGGACGCATTACCAAATTCATTTCATTTACCCTGAAGAAGCTTCGATAAGGAAACAATAAGTAGGACAAATAAAGGAGTGCTGCTCAAACCTAAGACTCACTGGAGACTCCTAAAAGGCAATAAAAAAGTGGTTTACCAGAGTTCCCACTGAACGGACCCCTTGACCTCCAAGGATGACATTTGGAAATGCGAGTGCTATTTGTGCGCACAACGACAAGAAAGAAAAGGAAGAGTTGCTATGGAAGGATTTAGTCAGTTTTTCCATGCTGCTGCAATAGTCAAGGTTCATTAAGTTATGGATAGCAGCGAATTAGATCTCGCTCCCCATGAAGCTACCCTTCAGGAAGTAGAAGGTTTCGACTCTTAGAAAGAAAAAATGCGCCAGGAACGGACCCCTGTCCCCCGCTTCCACGTCTTTTTACCATAATTCCAGGATGGAAAGGCTCTCGATTCATGATACAACGCGCTCCTTCAATTCTGCAGGCAACAAAAGAAGGCTCGTCATGACACTTGCAAAGTCCAGGCCCTTTCCAAATTACACAAATCACTTCCCTTCCATAACAGCCAATGGGTGCGAAAGTAAAGAAAAGGATTATGGCTATATAAGCCACATTTCCTAGATTTTCTCGAAGTTGTGGCGCTTTACAGCATCATATGATCTTATCTGATACGAAGAGGTTGTACCGGCAATCCGCGAACAGACCAACAGGTCCATAAATTATAACAGACTGGTATGTTCGCTCTTCCTCCCTTTCGCTCCTTCGTCCGATGATCATGATCCAATTATTCCGCCTCGAAAACATCGAAGGCCACTTACCTATTTGTGTAAGCACTGATTCATTGCCCAGCTCGTTTAAGATTGCGCTTTGATTCTGAATGCCTAGTAACCCTCTCTGAATGGTTTTCGCTCTAGGTGTCATCCTTCCGAACACTTTCACCCAATCATCCTCCAGTAATTTTCATTTTTCATATTGAAAAGCGAATGTAATATGTATTCCTTCTAGAAGCAGAATGTAATATGTATTCTTTCTAGTAGCACCCAGGGAAAAAACTTTCGGTGGTTCCCCAAAGCGTAAACCAAAGCCTAGTCCTCTGCCTGCTCTTATTATTCTACTTCTTTTGTATTTAATTTGACATAGGAAAGGTATAAGGACGGGTTTCAAAAAAAAAAAAAAGAATCGCAAAGGTTTCACGGAACCCCCACATATCAGCTCCAAGAAAGTCTATCTTCATCTCCTTAGGAATCAGATGTGTCGTGGAATTAATTTGTTATAGGTAGCGGGGCTTAAAATGAAGATAAAAGATAGGGGAAAGCCTTCGCAACCGAAGAACTCCGTGATGAGACACACCCGCGCATTGACTTTCTTTCAGAATTGATAGGAAAACAAGCTTAAATGTTTTATTGCACATGTAGGCTATACATCCACTCACAGGGCTGTCGAGCTCAAAGAAAAAGAAGGCTGGGCTGTATGAGTGGGTGTTCATACGAGATTTGATTCATTGACTGTAAGTGTGGTTGCGACGTCATTAGGAACACTAGCTGTTTGTAACTTCAACCAAACGTCGTTGCGTATTCTGTAAGAGAGTTGCAGATAACAATAAAAATCGTTTCTGAGATTTTTTACAGGATTAATCAATGACGTGCGAATGGGACGTTGCCCATTCGCATCGGGACGAACACGTCTTATGCAGGCAGCTTACTGTAGCCAGCTACACGCAATCGCAGTAATTTGGACAGCTCTTACAGTACCCCTTCCATGCAACTTGTGCTTCACAATCTCATCCAACCACTGATTTTACTGTTTTTTAAAGTCCATATTTCCTCACTCAGTTTTGTACTGTCCTGGACTATCCTTCTCATTGTTCGTCTACAACCACTTCACCACTGATTTTCACTCAGCTGCAACCCTACCTACCAGTCGAGTGTATTTACCACAATGCTATCGACACCATTACCCCGGACTGGTCACAAAGTTCCTTATGCTGCATGGTTTGCTCTTTTCTACTTCGGTTTCTCTCAAACTCAAAGAGCTTTTTCCAGCCATTCGTTGCTTTGAGATATAAGATTGCTCTTTTCTTTTCTTTTATCGAGTCAAATCGAATGAGAGAAAGAACTACTATTCATGGAGACATTTCGTTTCAGTACTGCACACGAAGCGTTACCCAGTTTGCCGACCAAACCAGCATTTAGGTGTTCTACAATATAACGTGTTCTTTCCTATTTATGCAAAGGAGTTTTCACTTTTCGAACCTTAACATGCCTATGAAGTGCATCCTATCTAGCAGGGAGCTTCTTCAACAAGCACTGCAGACTAGTTTAAATGTTGTAAGCATTCTCTCCTTCTTCTTCCTACCGTCCGCTTCCTCCTCTTCATTGATGCAGGTTTATTTAGGTTTATACAATCTAGCTTTACAGTTTTACACACTAAAAGTAGCAGATAGGCCACTCTTCGAGTATCGGAAGTCCTATGACCTTTCGATGGCTCCTTCAAGACCGTCCACGATTGACTCCGCGCGCTTAGAATCGTGGTCTTTGACGCGTTGAACCAGAACCTGTTCTCCAACCAAACCTTTCTACCGCTTGCGCAAGAGTTCTCCTCTTCTCCCCGCTATCAGAGCGACGTGGTCAGAGTAGAGAATGTATTCAGTGGCCCATCCATAGGTACTTCTGTGATGCCGTCCATTGAATAGAAACGTCTTCAGAGCTGGTTGTGGTCGTACCGCAACCGTGACGTTAACTGCTTTCGTATAGCTGTCAGAAGTGCGTATGATCGTCTTGAGCGTATGGCCCAATTCTTTGATCCCTTATTTTGTAAGCATTGGTAGCAGGTATTGAGTTAGAGGATATGGACACACGTCTATCCTCTCTAACCGAAGAAAAGAAATCGCCGATGAAATAGCAACAACTAAACAGATCATTTCGATAAGTAGTGATTGCGGTAGTCTAAAGGGCAGTAGTGGTAACTGAAAAAGAAGAGATGCGCATGGATTGGTACTGGAACGATGCCAACCTGGGCCAAAAAGTCTCTCCATTCTCGTTTAGGCGAGCGGTTTGGACAGTTTGTCCTTCGACTGACCAGTACACTTAGCTTTCTTTGCGAAAGCAATCGGTGCTCCTGCTCTATCAGTTAGAAAGACCTCAGTAGTTTTTTAGCTAGCTGTTACCATACAACGCTTTTTCCTTAAAAGTTCCAGTGCATCTTGCAGAGTGTCTCTTCAGCTCCAATGGACAGTAAAGCAATACCATTTTCAGAAGCACAGTTCAGGATAAGTTTGAAGTATGTATCCCTAGACGCGTCGTAGTCGTAATAGTAGTCCTAGACGATTGCATTCAGCAAATTGCAACAAAGTGCCTGTGTGCAAAGTGTGGGTCCCCGTGTGAACGGAGTAACCTCTATGGCTTTTACAACACCTAAAAGCTCGCTCGCCTTGGGTTTGTACGTCAGCTAATCAGGTCTTAGGCCCTTACTATGTCCAATCTAGACCGTTTTTGACCCGACAGGGCCTTCTGTCCTCGGAGGTCACAGTTTTATCCGAGGGAGAAACTTCAGAACTTTTCTAATGTGAACTATGCCTTTAATACTCAATTGTTACTATCAATGAAGATGATAATGTGCCTTAAAAAAAGCGCCAGCGTACTTACAGATTCATTTCTTCTTGGATTGATTCACATGGTGAAACACTAACACAGTCTTGTCAAGCTCTCTCGGTGCGATCTCTGTGAATACTCAAAATAAAAAGGAGAAATGCTCATTTACCCACACTAACGTTTTTCTGGACCTAGTGACCCCATATTCCTCGATCTCCATATCCTGTAGCATTTTGCTTTTTCACGAAGTCCCACTCACGTTTTCGAACATCGCTCTTTTATTCATCCATTTAGCCAATGCAGAGCGTCACGCCATCGTACACCATTCGACGAGCCACATTAGCCGACCACGATGCTTTTCTCGAAATCATGGTTGAGGCGTATACAAAGTCTGAACCCATGGCAAGAGCCCTGAATGTGTCTGTTGACGATGCCGAAGAGTTTTGCAGAAGTACGCCCACTGACTTTGACCTTTTTATGGCATTAGCACGCAATGAATTTATTAAAGGCTTTTTGCCACATTACCTTCCACAAGGCTATTCGTTGGCTATGGAAAGCGGAGGGCAAATGGTTGGCGCATATCTGATGCAGCTCGTGAAAAGGTAGCTACTTCTTTCGTCAGTTCAAGCTGTTCGAGCTCATAAGGTTTCCAACCCGATAAGAAGGGCCCATACATACATCGTGAAGTGTGGGTTTCGATTCAGCACGATTCCTTCATCGAAACTCTACCGTGGCTATTTAGAAGTTCCATGAAGCCCTCTTTGTTAAATAAACCAAGCACCATACATAATAATCAGTTTTCAGACCAAATCCCATTTACGAATCTGGCCCTGATCCAGACCTGCCACCGAAGATTTTCCTCATAGAAAGCATCGCACACAAGCTAACCGAGAATGTGAGCCATTTTTGAATTCATTTATGGATATTTACCGATGCATGATTCTCCTGAACATTGCTGACTGAACCGTTCGGAGCAGGATGGTCGTTTTGAATTTGGTACTCGATGTTCTTGCACTATGGACGCTATTATTTCAGTTTTGGGACCTGATGCCTCCGCATTTCACGAGTTGTATACACGCTTTGTATACCGTTGTAACTCCATCATGGCAGCATCGGGGAGCTGGGACAGCGTTGACAGCAGCAGCGATTCGACTGGCGAAAGAGAGCGGAGTTGATCTTGCTTTCGCAGAAGTCCTCAGTGACGACGTCTCCAGGGTACGTGCTTTCGTCCTGTAACTCAGCAAGAAGATTCTTTGACAAAAGATTAGAAGCGTTGAAGGCACAGTTAACGATAACTTCGAGGTACCCTTTTTTGAGTTGAAAAGTGGAAGTGTTGGCGTGGAGTAGTGCATCTGTGGTGGCGATGGCGAAGATCCGTAGACTTCGTGAGAAGTAGGACTTCCATGAAGTAGTAGAAATAGACATTGTTCGAGATTACCATGACGAAAATGGCCCACAAACGGTATTCGAGCGAGATTTTAGTTGATGCAACTGAGCAAAAACTGACTACATCAAGGCTAAATTGTTTAATGCCTTCCACTGTCCCCATGGGTCACGATAAGTTTTTGAACTTTTTACATGGGTGTTCCTTGTGAATGATGCAGCCCCTCCAATACCATTGATACTTTTCGCTATAGGTGTGGCATTCACCCGATACGATCTCTGAACCCTTATGACGCACTACAGTACCGTTCAAAAAGAAATCACCTTAAATTTTTCTGCCACAACTCACCTCAAACTCAATCTTTTTACCTGAATTTTTGATAGCACACTTATCAAACTTTACCGACTCTCCTGCGATGCAGAATTGGTGGTAGCTCACTTCCGGCCAAGTAGGTGAATTTTTTTTCAAAAAACTTGCGAAAGGGGCCTGTTCTTTGGGTAGATTTCATTGTGTTTTTCGAGTCTAGAAATGTCGGTGATTCTTTTGTTCTGTTATCTGATCGCTCTAAGCGGAGAGGCGAAACTCTGGCTTTCGCCTTCTAACCGTGGAGTCTCTCTCCGC